GCAATGCCAGTTCTACCAATCCATGAGCAGGGGATATTTTTCCATTTTTTTGTGTGTTCTGTGATTTCTTTAATCAGTGTATTCTAGTTCACCTTGTAGAGGTCTTTAACTTCCTTTGTAAAGTATATTCCTAGGTATTTTATTTTCCTTGTAGTTATTGTGTGTTTGATTTGATTCTTAGCTTGACATTTTTGTTGTATAGAAATGCTACTGATTGGTGTACATTGATTTTGTAGCCTGAGATTTTGCTGAATTTATTTATCAATTCCAGGAGTCTCTTGGTGGAGTCTTTGGTGTATTTTTTTTTTTGCCAGAGTAATGGATTGATTTATTTTTTTATTTCTGCATATTATGGGGGAACAAATGTTTAGGTTATGCATGTTGCCATTCCCCCCCTCAAGTCAGAGTTTCAAGCGTGTCCATCTAAATTCAAGATCATATATCATCAGCAAAAAGTGAGAGTTTGACAACCTATTTCCCAATTTGAATGCCCTTTATTTCTTTCTCTTGACTGATTCCTCTAGCTAGGACTTCCTGCACTATGTTGAATAGAAGTAGTAACAGTGGGTACCCTTGTCTTGTTCCAGTTCTTAGAGGAAATGCTTTCAACTTTTCACCATTCAGTATGATGTTGTCTGTGGGTTTGTTATATATTGTTTTTATAATTTTGTGGTATGTTACTTCTATGTCTGGCTTGTTGAGGGTTTTTATAATGAAAGTGTACTGGATTTTTTGAATGCTTTTTATGCATATATTGAAATAATCATATGGTCTTTGTTTTTGCTTCTGTTTATGTGGTGAATGGCTTTTATTAAAAATTCCAAACAATATATGCCGGTGTGGATGCAGAGAGAAAGGAACACTTATGAACTTTTGGTGGGACTGCAAATTAGTACATACTCTATGGGAAACAGTATCAAGATTTCTCAAAGAACTAAACATAGACCTACCATGCAATCCAGCAATCCCACTATTGGGTACCTACCCAAAGGAAAAATGTCATGTTATCAAAAAGACACCTGCACTTAAATGCTTATTGCAGCACAATTCCCAATTTCAGAGATGTCGAATCCACCCAAGTGTCCATCAATTCATAGGGGGGTTTTAACAAAATGTAGTATATGTATATCATAGAGTACTACTCAGTGATAAACAAGGATGAATTAATGCCTTTTGCAGCAATTTGCATGGAACTGGAAACCATTATTCTGAGCAAAGTATCTCAAGAACAGAAAAACACCACATGTACTCTCTGATAAATTGGAACTAACTGAGGGGAACACATGTATGCAGTGGGAAGTAAAAGTCATTGGAAATCAAGCACGGGGAAGGGGAAGGAGAGGAGAGGTTAAAATCTGCCTAACACTTACAATGATCACTATTCAGGTGATGAGCCCACTACTAACCCTGACTCAAGCATTACAAAAGCTATCCATGTAACAAAAATATTTTAGCCCCTTAATATTTTGAAATAAAAAGAATAAGAAAAATATAAATGAAAAGAGGATTGAAAATATCACCACAGAGAAATGATAAATATCATTTTTATAGGCAGACGAGCCTGATTTGATCATTCCACAGGGTATAAATATATCAAAAAACAACATTCTACCCCATAAGGATTTATAATTATTATTTTTCAATTAAAAATAATATAAGACTCTATTCCTTTCTGGATAAGTCCATCCTTTGGCCTCCTTCTAAAAGAGTATATTTTGCTTTCAATAAATCTATCTGCGTCTGCCTATAAAAATGATAATGATAATAATAAGATAAGATATAAACAATTGTTTAAAAAGCAGCATTGCTTTGATTGAAGCAAAAATAGTCCTTACTTTTTCTCTTGGTAGCAATAAGGCCTGATTTCTCTTAAAATAAAAGAAACATTCTGAAATGACACAATTGTCTATTGTCTAAAAGCCCTCATTCATGTAAATAGCTCTGAGGAAATGTGAACAATCAGCTTGATGGTACATTCTCTCTGGATGGCAGTAGAACATTGTATAATATGTAAAAGTGTCCTTCCCCACAGATCTGGAAGCCAGAATAGGTTTCCCAATGATCTGACCAGAGATCAAGTGCCAGAAAAAAAAAAAAAATCACAGCTTAATGTTGGATGGAAATCCATTATATATAAATCATGTCGACAATTGATGCTTAAATTGTCTTAATATTATTTATTCTATGTAAAAATGCTCTCTAAAATATATTTTGCATGTTAAGAGTTAATAATTAATAAATCCTAAGGGTATGCTTCCATTCTAATATCTCCATGTTGTTGGAAATCTACATTTTTAAAAGAGGTAAATTTTACATAACATAAAATTCATCATTTTAACTATCTTAAAGTGTATAATTCAATGGCTTTTAGTAATTCCCAATGTTTTACAGTCATCACCACTGATTCTAGAACATTTTCATCACCTTCAAAAGAAACCTGTAACATAGTTAAAAAAAAAATTTTATGTCATCATGCCAACTTCAAAAAAAAAAAAAAAAAAAAGAAACCTGTATCCATTTAGTGATCACTCCCCATCCTCCCTCCTCCTGGCCTCTAGAAACCACTACTGCTTTCTTTCTATGTGGATTTGCCTATTCTGGAAACTTCATAAGAATAAAATCCTACAAGTTGTGGTTTGTGTGTATGTGTGTTTCCAGCTTGCTTCACTTAGCTTATTGTTTTTGAGGTTCATCCGTGGTGTAGTACATTCATTCATTTTTGAGAATTCATAATATCCCATTGCATGAATATGTCACATTTTTAAAATAGTTGATGGGCATTTTGGTTGTTTTCACTTTTCACCTGTAATTAAAAATGCTTCTACGACTATCTGGACACAATTTATTATAAAAACCTATGTTTACAATTATTTCAGCTATGCACTTAAAAAGTACTTATACTAACTCCTATGAAAAGTTTATGTTTAAATTTTAATGAATGGCTGAAGTGTTTTCCACAGTAATTCTACATTTCCACCAGCACCAACCAAGGGTTCCAGTTTTTCCACATCTGTACCAACAGTAACTATTTCCTGGGTTTTGTTTTTGTCTTTGTTTTTTTATTAAGTATTATGACCAACCTAATGGGTGTGATGTGGTGTCTCACTTTGTTTGATTTGAATTTCCCTAATGACTAAAGATGCTGGATATCTTTCCACATTCTTCTTGGTCATTTGTTTAGCTTATTTGGAGAAATATCTAGTTAAGACTTTTGTCCATGTATTAATAAGATAGTTTGTCTTTTGTGTTAAGTTGCAAATATTCTTTATATATTCCAACGTTAGAACTTTATCAGGTATATAATTTTAAATATTTTCTCATATTCTTTGGGTAAGTTTCTCACTTTTTTGATAGTATCCTTTGAGGCGCAGGTTTTTAACTTTAATGAAGTTCAGTTTATCTATTTTTTTTTTGTTACTCATGCTTTTATTGTCATAGCTGTGTATCCAAGCTATGTATCCAACATTAAATCCAAAAACATGATGATTGAATCCTAGGTTTTATTCTAAGAGTTTCATAATTTTATCTCTCAAATTTACTTTTTTGATTCATTTTGTGTTACTTCTTTATAAATTGTGTGAAGTAATATGCAAAATTATTATTTTGCAAGGAAATATCCAGTTGTTATAGCACCATTTTTTTGAAAAATGATTCTTTCCCCATTTAATGGTTTTGGCAACATTGTGAAAAATCAATTGACCACAGGTTTGTAGGTTTATTAACTCTAAATTCTATTTAATTGATCTATATGGTTACCCTTATACCAACACCACAGTGTTTTGATTACTGTAGATTTGTAGTAAGTTTTGAAATCAGGAAGTGTGAGTCCACCAACATTAGTTCTTTTTTTCAAGACTGTTTTTGCAAAGGACAACAAATTAGCAAAAACATTTAGGAGCAGCTCACATATTTCTGCTAAAAAGGAAGTTGGGATTTTGACAGGGATTGCAATGATTTTTCAGATCATTTGGGAGGTATTTGCATTTAAATAATACTGTTTTTAAATCAGTGAACACAGGATATCTTCTATTTCTTTAGATCATCTTTAATTTATTTCAATAGTTTTCAGTATATAAGACTTATACCTACTTGGTTAAATTTATTTCTCAGTACATTGTTCTTTTTTTATCTTGTTGTAAATGTAATTGTGTTTTTTTTTCAATTCTTATTTTGTGTTTTTGGCTCATGGGGCATTGTCATCTTTTCAACATGAAAAAAAGCAGCTAGTTCAACAAAAAATAGAAATCTGAAGTGTAGGATATGACAAAACCAAGGGTAGGGAGCAAAAAGACAATAGCGAAGAGATGAGATTTGCAAAAAAGAGGGTGTCCTGTCCCCTCTCTGGGGAATGACTCATTTAGGTGGCAGTATACACCTTTCCACACAAGTTAGGGATGTTATTACTTTTTTGTGGGTAAGAAAAGGTAGGGATGAAGAGGGCATTTCTGGTGGTTTAGAGACCAAAGCTAAGCTTTCTGCCCTTCTGATCCCCTTCTCCCAGGGAAAGGAAGGAATCCAATGTATGAGTGAGGTGGGGAGGGGAGCATTCCACTCCACAGAGTGGGGCAGATCCCTCCAAAGGAAAGACCTTGGAGAGAGATTGAAAATGGAGATAATACTGCTACCACCTCCCTTAAAGCTGAGAGATAAAATATGCAAATATCTAGATGTTAACTGAAAAGCCTGGATTTTCCTCTCCCAAACTGTTCTAGAATGGAAAATCCCATCCCTTCCTCATAGTGACTTCTCCTGCCCCTGCCCTGCCCCACTTTGCTACTACTTGGGCTTAGGATGATGGTGGTCATCTTGGTTTTCAGCACCCAGTTGATTTTAAATGGCATCTTAATGAGACCTAGCTTCTTAGAGAGAATTATTTTAAAATCAGTGGGAAATATTAACTGGACAGATGGGAGGAATGGGCACCAGAAGAACATACAGGGTTACCCAGAAAGGTAGAAATCTGGGATTCCTAGAGTGGAAAGAGAGAGGAGACATTCAACAAACAAGTATTTACTGAGCACCTACTATGTGCCAGGCACTGTTCTAGACCCACCTAAAAGAAGAAGATTAAGGAAAATAAAAACAGAGGCAGCAAACACAAATTCTGAGGGAGAGGAATGGGGTAGTTGAGGAAGAAGGCTAAGGGAGCGGGAAGCCTGAGGTGATGGGGGCTGTGCCTTAGGTGTCCTCTTCCACCTCCTCACCGAAATCCTCCTCCTCTTCCACGGTGGCATCCTGGTACTGCTGATACTGTACCAGTGGAGGAAGGCCTTCCGGTGGAACATGGCAGTGAACTGCTCTGAGATGCACAGGAACAGCTCCTGCATGGCCATGCTGTTGCCGATGAAGGTGACCGTCGTCTTGAGGCCATGAGGTGGGATGTCGCAGATAGCCGTCTTGACATTGTTGGAGATCCACTCCACAAAGTAGCTGCTATTCTTGTTCTGCACTTTGAGCATCTGCCTATCTACCTCGTTCATGGACATCCGTCTACGGAAGCCACAGTGAGGTACCGGCTATAGCAGGTGTCACTGGCAGCCATCATGTTCTATGCATGAAAAATCTGCTGAGTGAGTCTGAGCACAGTGAGAGCCCAATACTGATGGCTTCCACAACTAGTCAGAGGGACAAAGCCAGGCATGAAGAAGTGGAGACGTGGGAAGGGCACTTGTTGACTGCCAGTTTGTGGAGGTCAGCATTGAGCTGTCCAGGGAAGTGGGGGCAGGTGGTGACACCACTCATGATAGCTGAGATGACATGGTTCAGGTCCCCATAAGTCAGTGTGGTCAGATTGAGGGTGTGGAAGCAGATGTCATAAAAGGCCTCATTGTCAATGCAGTAGGTCTCATCAGTGCTCTCTACCAACTGATGGATGGAGAGGGTGGCATTGTAGGGCTCAACCACGGTGTCAGACACTTTGGGTGAGGGGACCACACTGAAAGTATTCACTATGCCATCAGGATATTCTTCTCATACCTTTCTGATAAGGAGGGTGCCCATTTCAGAGCCTGTGCCCCCACCCAGCGAGTAGGTCAACTGGAGATCCTGCAGGCAGTCACAGCTCTTAACCTCCTTCTGTACCACATCCAGGACCCAATCAACCAGCTCAGCCCCTTCTGTATAGTGGTCCTTGGCCAGTTGTTGCCTGCCCCACACTGACTGAAAAGTTGTCTGGTCTGAAGATCTGACCAAAAGGACCCTATTGAGATGTTTGACTCCTTATATATGCTGGATATGAGTCCCTTGTCAAATTAATTGATTGCAAATATTTTCTCTCATTCAACAGAGTATCTCTTCACTCTGTTCATTGTTTCCTTTGCTGTGAAGACTTTTCAGCTTAATTAAGTCCCATTTATTTATTTTTGTTGTTGCTGTATTTTCTTTTGGGGTATTACTCATATGTTATTTGCTTATGCCAATCCCTAGAAGAGTTTATCCTATGTTTTCTTCTAAAATTATTATGGTTTCAGGTCTCAGATTTAAGCCTTTAATTAATATTGAGTTAATTTCTGTATATGGTGAAAGATAGGGATACAGTTTCATTCTTTGATTGTTGCTATCCTATTTCCTCAGCACAATTTATTGAATAGAGTATGATTTCTCCAGTGTATGTTTTTGTCTGCTTTGATGAAAACCATATGCTTGTCACTATATAGTTTATTTCTCAATTCTCTATTCCATTCAATTGGTCTATGTGTCCACTGTTATCACTGTACCATGCTGTTTTGGTTACTATTGCCTTGCAGTATAACTTGATGTAAAGTGATATGATGCCTCCAGATTTGCTCTTTTTGCATAGAACTGCTTTGGATATTTCAGCTCTTTTTCAGTTCCATATGAAATTTAGGATTGTTTTTTCTAGATATGTAAAAAATGACAATGGTATTTGATGGGGATTGTGTTGAATGTGTAAATCATTTAGGGCTGTGTGAACATTTTAACGGTGTTGATTATTCTAGTCCACAAGCATGGGAAGTTTTTCCATTTGGTTGTGTTATCTATGCTTTCTTTCATCACAGTTCTCTAGTTCTCCTTATAGAGATCTTTCGCCTTCTTAAGTTCTGTTTATGTGGTGAATCCCAAATTTATTAATTTGCATATGCTGAACCATCCTTGCATACCTGGGATGAAGCCCCCTTGATCATGATGAATTATCTTTTGGATATGCTGTCGAATTTGGTTTGGCAGCATTTTGTTGAGGGCTTTTGCATCTATGTTCATAAGGGATATAGATCTGAAGTTTTCTTTTTTCTTTTTTTGGTTCTTTCCTGGATTTGGTATCAGAGTGATACTGGCTTTGTATTATGCATTAGGGAGGATTATATCCTTCTCGATTTTATGGAACAATTTGAGGAGAATGAGTGCCAGTTCTTCTTTAGGTCTAATAAAATTCTGCTGTGGATCCATCTGCTTCAGGACTTTTTTGTTATTGTTTTGAGGAGAGATTTTTTTACTGTTTCAAACTTGTTACTCACCATTGGTCCCTTCAGTATTTCTATTTCTTCCAGATTCAAGATTGAAAGGGCACAGATTTCCAAAAATTTATCCATTTCTCTAGATTTTCTAGTTTGTATGTGTACAGATTTTCATAGTGGTCATATATGATACTTTGTATTCCTGTAGTATCTGTTGTAACGCCTTCATTTTATTTCTGATTGAGCTTATTTGAGTACTTTCTCTAATATTTCTGGCTAATCCAGCTCATGGTTTGTCAATTTTGTTTATCATTTGGAAGTTCCAACTTTTTTCTTTGTTGATCATTTGTATTTTTTATTTCTATTTCATTTGGTCCTGCTTTGATCTTGTTATTTCTTTGCTTCTGCTAGCTTTTACATTTGGTTTGTTTTTCATTTTGAGGTCCCTTCAAGTGTGACATTAGATTGTTAATTTGTAATCTTTTTGTCTTTTTGGTGTAAGCCTTTAAGGCTATGAACTTCCCTGTTAGCACTACTTTTCTTGTATCCCACAGATTTTGGAAGCTTGTGTTGCTGTGTCTTTAAAGTCAAAAATCTTTTTGATTTCCATATTGATTTTATCATTGACTCAAGTGTCATTCAGCAACAGGTTTTTTAGTTTTGGTTTATTTGTGTAGTTTTGAGATTCCCTCTTATAACTGATTTCTAGTTTCATTCCACTGTACTTTAAGAGGATACATGGTCTGAGTTTGATTTTTCTTAATTTGATGAGACTTGATTGGTGGCTTAACATATGTCTGTCTGGTAAAATATTCCCATATGCTGATTAGAATAATGTATATTCTTTAGTTTTTGAGTAGAATCTTCTGTAAATGTCTGTTAGACCCATTTATTCTAGAATCTCATTTAAGTCCAGTGTTTCTTTGTTACTTTTTTGCCTTGATGATGTGTCTAGTTCTGTCAGTGGAGTGTTGAAATTCCCAGCTATTATGTCTCTGTTTCTTTCCTTAGATCTAGTAGAATTTGTTTCATGATTCTAGGTGCTCATTTGCTAGGTCCATATATACATTTAAGATTGCTATTTCTTTCTTTATCATTATATAATGATCATCATTGCTTTTTACCATTGTTTGTTTAAAGTCTATTTTATCTGATATGAGAATACCTACTCCTGCTCACTTTTGGTTTCCATTTGCATAGAATATTTTTTCTATACTTTTACCTTGACTCTATGAGAATCTTTGTGAGTTAAATGGGATTCCTGGAGACACTATATATTCTAGTTGTGTTTTTTCATCCATTCAGGCAATCTATATCTTTTAAGTGGGGCATTATGACCATTTGCATTCAATGTTATTGATATGCTAGATATTGTTCTGGTCATCATGTTGATTGTTACTTAGTTGCTTTGTTTTCTTCCTTGTTTTACTGTTGTTTAAGAGCTGTGAGTTTTATCTTTTGGGTGATTTTATACTGGTTGGAATCGATTGCTGTGTTCCATGTATAGAGAACATTTGAGCATTTCTTGTAGGGCAGGTCTAGTCTTGACAAATTCCCTTAGAGTTTTCTTGTCTGGGAAGACTTTCTTTCTCCTTCGTTTATGAAACTTAGTTTTGCAGGATACAAAATTCTTGGCTGACAGATATTCTGCTTAAGAAGACTAAAATCGGGACCATAATTTCTTTTGTTTTGTAACATTTCTGCTGAGAAGTGTGCAGTTAGTCTGATGAATATCCTTTGTGATTTACTTGATGCTTTCATCTTGCAGCTTGGAAGATTTTTTCCTTCAGTTTTACTTTGGCTTCACTAATGACATTGTGTCTTGGTGATGTCCTATTTGCCTTGAATCTTCTAGGTGTTTGCTCACCTTTTTATACCTGGATGTCTAAATCTTTCATGATACCAATGAAGTTTTCCTCTAATATTCCCTTAAATAGGCTTTGCATGCTTTTTGCACCCTCAAGTGTACCTATGATTCTCATATTTGTACATTTTTAATAATCCCATATTTCTCAGAGATATTGTTCATACCTATTGATTAATTTTTCTTCACTTTTGACTGACTGGGTCAATTTGATAGGCTTGTCTTCAAGCTCTGAAATTCTTTATCCTGCTTGGTCTAGTATGTTGTTAAAACTTTTCACTGCATTTTGACATTCTCTAAATGACTCTTTTATTTCCAGAAGTTCTGTTGTCTTTTTTCATATATTATTTACCTCTGTAGTGAATTTTTCATTCATGTCTTGATTTGTTGTTTTTGTTTGTTTGTTTATTTGTATTGGTTTTCAACTTTCTCATCAATTCCATTGATATTACTTGCAATCCATACTCTGATTTCCATATTTGACATTTCAACAATTTCCTTTTGGTTGGATTTCATTGCTGGAGAGCTACTATGATCCATTGGGGGCATGGAAACAGCCTTTTTTATGTTGTCTGAGTTCTTATGATGATTCATTTTCATCTAGAACCTCTTCTCTCATCTCAAAGAGATACTTTGCAATATACCTGTTCTCCCCTGCTGAGAACTTTGTTGTTCAGTGAAGAGAGGGAGAGGTCCTTGGATGATGTGCTTGAGTTTTACTCTGAAACATTGAACAGGCAGGAGAGGGGTTTGAGTGCACTGTGAGCCTTTAACACTGTTACTCTTCTGCATCTCTTATTTATCTTGTGGTTGTCATGAGTGGATGTGCTGAAGCAAATGCATGGCAGTTGGTCTGTGGGTGGTGGCCTGGGACCACCCAAGTCCAACAGCAGTTGCATGGGTATTTGTCAAGCCCAGGTTCACCAGTGACACCACTATACAAGTGGCAGTGGCAGGATCTAAGAAACACAGGTAAATGTTCCACCTGAATCTTGTAATGGCAGTGGGGACATGCATCACTCACTTACGGGATGTGCATGAGTTCCTGGCCTCCTTACTCCCTTCCAGGCCCAGAAGGGGCAATGGGGAGGTGGCAGCAATGTATCTGACCCTAAAGTAGACACAGAACTCTGGGGCTGGGATCTCAATATGGTGCTAGCTCCAGCATATGGGACTCAAGAATCTGTGGGATCCCACTGTGCCTTCTCTCTGGGGCAATGCCACTGTACAGTCTTCAGTCTGTTACCTGTTTCAGATCAGAGGCCTGCTGCAATGGAAGACCCCTCTTACTGCTCCAAATGCAATGCCCCTGGGGTAAATGTGGAATCCCAGGTTTCTCTTCTCTGTCCCATCCCCACGTGAGTGTTTTTCCCAGCTACGTCTGATTCTATCAAGTGGATCACCCCACTACCCTATCCTTCACTTTCAATGCCTCCAATCACTTCTGTTTTAATTCCCAATACTCTTTCCTACATCATCAATCTGAAAGTGAATATCCACTCAGAATTTTTGATCCTTTTCATGAGAATGGCGTGTCCAAGTTGCTTCTAGTCTGCCATCTTTGCTCCCTCTCTCTATCCAGATGAAATACTTTCTGCATTTGAAAATAATGTCTATTCCACACTTTGAGGTATATTGTTCTCTATATATCTTTTGGGTCTAGTATGTTTACATTAATATTTTTTCAAGTCTTTCGTTTCCCTGTGTATCTTTTATATATGTGCTTTATCCATTATTAAAAGTGGTTTCTGAAGCATTCTGCTATTGTTTTAGAAAATTCTATTTTTCCCTTCAATTCTATCGGTTATGCTTCATATATTTTGGGTCTCTGTTGTTCAGTGTGCATATATTTATAATTGAAATATCTTCTTGATAAATACTCCCTATCATCATTATATGATATCTTTATTGTCT